TATATTTGATCAATTAAAACATAATATATATTTATTTTAAATAGTTTTGTAAATAATTTTAATATTTAAAATATCAATACATTTCTTTTTTTTTTACTCTTTTTAATTTTTATTTCATAAAAAATATAAATATGTACAATATTTACTTCTACAACTTAAAGTGTATCTAGTTTAGACTAAAAGAAAATAATATTAATTTTAGAGAAATTATAAAAATAAGATATTTTAATATTAAAAATATTAAAATATTTAATAATTATTATAAAAATAAATGAAATAAAATATAAATCCTACCTAAATTTTATTTATAATGTGATTAGAATTGGATGTACTCACATTTAATTTTCCAAATTTCAAAAGCAGTTTTTTGTTGGTATAGATTAGCTATCTAACCATGAAATATCAAGTTTGACCATTCTTTCTTTTCTCCTATACTCCTTTCTTTTTCATCAATGGCAAACTTGACATTTTATAATTGAACGCGTTATTTTTCCCTTCCCGAACCATTCCCCAATTTGAACTTGACCAAATAAATACTTTCCATGAACTTATTCAATGATTTGGATTGGTAGAGAAAGAGAAATGATTTTGGCACAAAGTTAGAAATACATAGTGTAGTAAAACAAATGTGAATTTTTAATAAAATATGAAAGTTAATATAGTTTAATGCATCTTTTCAAAAAAATTTTAAGAGTTTTATTTTAATTAATATTTGGTTAAATACCATTTTTGGTCCCTCTACTATAAGCAAAAGCCCTTTTTTAGTCTTTATACCGAAAAAGTCCTTATATCGAAAAAATCTTTTTTTTTGGTCTTTACTGTTCACAAATTCAACTCCTTTTTAGTCCTTCTGTTAAATTTTGGCTGATGTGGCCTGTTAATTAATGAAAAAACTCTTCTTTTTTTTACCATTTTACTAAATTACGTGGAAAATTCATTTGGCAAAAATGGATGACATGATTAAATTTTTTACATTTAATTACTGATTTACCCTCATCTTCTTCCCCATCCTCTCCTTCCTCTCCTTCCTCTGCCTTTTTTTCTTTTACCTCTGGGTTCGCTCTAGCCTCTTTTTTTTTCTCTTTTTTTTTTTTTCTTTTAGCTCTAGGCGAACCCAGGAGCCTGGGTTCGCGAGGAACCTAGTTCGCGGGTTCCCAACGAACCCAGGAGCCTGGGTTCGTGAGGAACAAAGCTCGTGGGTTCCTAACGAACCCAAGAGCCTGGGTTCACGAGGAACCCAACTCGTGGGTTCCTGACGAACCCAGGAGCCTGGGTTCACGAGGAACGCAACTCGTGGGTTCCCGACGAACCCAGGAGCCTGGGTTCACGAGGAACCCAGCTCGCGCTGTCCTTAGCTTCCACAGATTGAGTCGAGTTCTTTACTATTTGAAGGTTATTGA